GGGCCTGCCCCCCCCCCTTTTTCTTTTTTTTTTTTTTTTTTTTTTTGGAGGGCTGTATTTGGTCTGTGTGACCACATAATTACACCTCGTTCACTGAACACATGCCCCTCTGTGATTACAGGGCTGCTGCTTGACTCGGTTAATCGCGGTCCAACACATGCTGTGAGCACATGTTGTTGAAGATGATCGGTTTTTCTGATGAACTGACTGAATAAAGAACTTCCTAACTTGTCTGCGCTAGTGTTAGGCTAGCACCATTTAAGTTTAACAGCAGCATTCTTATTATTTGTCTTTAAAAAAAAAACTACTCAACTACTTTGAGTCTTTAACTGCAGCACATGTTCCCCGATAAAATACAATATCGGTTTTACAGATTGTAATCCTATTTAGAGGAAAATAGACGACACATCTGTTTTAAGAATTCATATTATATATACATATATATATATACATATATATATTCACTTTGGATAAAAGTGTCTGCTAAATGTAATGTAGTATATACATATATGTATGTGTATGTCCGTGTATATATATGAATACACAAACATATCCAGTAAATTATATATCATACATATATATAAATATATATATGTATGATATAGGTTTCACTCTGTATATGTGTGTATACATACTCACATATTCTCATATATGTACTGTATATATACTCACATATATGCACATATATATATATATTTATATATATGTTTATATATATTTATGTATATATTTATTTTCTCTTGTGGATGGGGCCCTTTGTTACAGAGTGACACACAGATACATTGACTCAGCTCTATGTTTTCTCTAGTTAACATAAGGTTGTTACCAGGACAACAATGATCTGCAGACACTGAACTTTGAGACCAAATAGGGTTAAAAAACTCAGTTGTGACAAATAGTATAGGAGTGGATCAATGAGATTTTGTAACTCCCGACTGTAATCAGGATCACAGTGGACTGACTCACCTCTTGAAACGAGACTCTAAATCCATATTGTTCTGCTGAATACGTACAAAAACGGGGCCAATGTGCTGCGGGCCGGCATGTTGACGAATCTCTTCATTTGTTCACTCAACACTGGAGCAGCTGTTTCTGTGAGCACTTCACTTCAATCACCGTCTCTTCACTGGGCTTTGATTGGCTCTTGTTGTTCCACTGAGGAGGTGTTTCTCTGCAGCACATTTAGACCAAACAACCTCAGACTGTGGAGACTGGTCTTTAGTGGTGAGCTCCAGTCACTGATGTCAGCCTAGTCCAGACGTGGACAAACTTTTTTGACTCTGGCCGGTTCAGGAGCAGATAGATGGAGCGCTTGTGTGAGCTAAGATAAATGACATGTAAAAGTCATGCATAAAGATGCTAAAATGCTTTACGCCATCTATTGGGGTAATGTAGGTATTGCAAGCAAAAGGCAGAAGTATAATATAAATAAATTATATCATTTTGAAAAGTTTGGCGGGTCGGATTAAACAGCTGAACGGGCCACATCTGGCCCCCGGCCCTTAGTTTGCCCATGCCTGGTCTAGTCACATTTCCTGAACCAATCATTTCACTTCATGCATAGTATTTTTGCATGAAATCACAAAACAGTTTTTTTCAGTCAATGCAGAGTGACAGGCAGAACTATTAAATACTCTTACACTAGATGGCAGCAGATGGCTATGAAAACAAAACAAAAAAAGAATCAGAGCTGTTGAAGATCTTTGTATGTCTTTCTTCAATTCCTGCAAGTATATCAGCATTTGTTTGTTTTTTTCAACTAAACAGGCAGAGATTTGACACTGAGTGAGTAAATTGTGAGTTAATTGAAACTATAATATTATTATATTTCACTACACATACTTCTTGTGAGATTTTTGTTTAGGAGGGGCAGTAAAAAGAAAAAAAGAAAAAAATAGTAAGAAACATTTCTCACCAGCAGGGGTCACCAAGTGTATTTGTGGTAGGTTTGTAGATTTTTTTACATTATATTAATATTATTATTACATAATAATATAATATAATATTTTATTATAATAATAATATTATTTTGTGTTTGTATTGGAATCCAGTTGTGGGCCGGATTGGACAGTTTGGTGGACTGCATTTGGCCCACAGGCCGCCAGTTGAAGATCACTCCTTGATTTTGTACTAACTTAAAATGGAAAATATAAAAATAAAAAAAAAAGATCGTATGAAGAGAATGTTTTGCAGATTTTTTTTATTTTGTTTCAGTTTTAGTCAAAAACTTTAAGGTGACCTTAAAAAGTAGTATTTTCATAGAAATCAGTAAAGTATCTTAGCCACGATGTTCTTAGCATGAACGTGGAGTGAGTAGCCTCCTTTAGCCCTCTTCTGATAATAATGGTACTGTCCGGTCACATGACCAAAAACATGGTCGCCACTCGCTGCTTGACAGTCATGATGCAGGTGTTGTTGAAACAACAATATTTTCTTCTCTTTTTTTTTTTTTTTGTCCGTTTTGTTTCCCTTTGCCTCGCTCTGGTTCAGCTCCAGCACAAAGCCATCACACTGACACGGGATGAGATCCAAACTGCTGTGTCCCACACTGATCTGGACAAGATGTGGCAGCGAGATCTGAAGCCGCTGCTGGTTACCAGGTACCCCAGCTCCGAGGGCAGCCAAGCTGTGCAGAACGTGAGTGGTTCCTTTGACCTTAAAAACAATCAGAGTATACATTACCAACAGATATCATGTTTACTTCCTGTACGTTCTTGTTCTTGTTCTTGTTCTTGTTCTTGTTCTGCTGTTCTCAGCATATCAAAGCGACCATCGGTTCCCTGGGAGCAGGCTGGGAAGTCACGGAGGATAAATTTAGGGCTCAAACACCCTACGGCCCTCTGCCCTTCACTAACCTCATTGCCACGCTCAACCCCTCGGCCAAGCGCCGGCTGGTTCTGGCCTGTCACTTTGACTCCAAGTACTACCCACCCCAGTGGCACGGGAGGGAGTTCCTGGGTGCCACCGATTCGGCGGTTCCCTGCGCCATGTTGTTGGAGTTGGCACGAGCCCTGGATGAAGAACTGAAAGCTCAGAAGGTGGGAGTCAGAGTCAGGATTCTCTGTGAATCATCACAGTGGTTTCCTCCAAATATGTTGTCAGTGGGTGGCGCTTTGGCCCAGAGGCAATGTCTCTGTCATTGGTGTGGAACCCCAGGGTTCACCTCCTGGGCAAGTTCGAATCCCGGTTAGGGCGGTTGGTACGGTGCAGTGTGATTTAGGTGGCGACTGCTGCCCCCGCGACCCGGTAACGGATAAGCGGATGAAAATGGATGGATGGATGGATGGATGTCCGATAATATCGGCTAACCGATAATATCGGCTAACTGGTAATATCAGCCCAATATTAGCATAATTATGTAATAACTGCAAGAATCATTATCAGAGGAAAAAACGATAATGAAAACCTAATAACTCAATGGGTTTCGTTAAATGATGTATGGCCTAAAAATAGTTTTGGGGAAAAACGGCTGTATGTGAAAGTGAAAGTCACTAGATGGCATCATTGCAGCGTATTTTATAGTTTTAAAGTGACAGTGAATTATTGACACAGCACACAGTGAAAATGTGTCCAAACGGCCCATATATCGGTATCGGAAATATTTTGGCATATTGGATATCAGCAAAAACATAATATCGGACATCGCTAATTTAGAGGCCATGTTGTGTTTTCAGTTACATTGCTCTTTTACTAATTACCATGTAACTGCCACCCACATGTTTTAATTGTTGCTAATGATACCATACGTCACGTCATTGATTTAGTTTTCACACATGCTGCCGCTCGGAGCTCGTCCTGTGTGACAGCTGGAGCCGCGATCCACTGGGAAGACCGTGACAGTGTCTTTCAACCGAGGGACATGTTTATCCGACTCAGCTGTCAGCCGCAAAGGTCACGGTGGGAGAAACAGGAGTCGCTGTGAATGTAAAATCAGAGGAAAAGTCCCGTCACTTCAGTGATAAACTGAAGTGATGGAAAAATGGAAATATTTTCCCAATCTCTGTTTTCATGTCATTGCTACTTCAGTGCCACTAGAGGGCAGCAGAGGCGATGGTTTAAAAACTAAACTCTACTGTCTGCTGTTGAAGCTACTGTTCAAATGTGCAGGCTAAAATGCCTACATTAAAAATAATACATATTTATTTACGCTGTTTAAAATAAATATACTTTATATATACGTCATATGTTGCAGTATCTGTATGACGTAATATGATACATCAATACATTTATGGACACAGCTTTAGTCCAGGTGATTAGCATCTAATTTAAAATAACATCTTGATTTATTTTTTAATTATATTATATATGTTATATTTTAATTGCTCTTGATCTTCCAGCACTCTACTGTGCCATCTACTGGTAGAGCACAAGTTACATATTAGGCGGCCCCTGGGTCTACAGTTTACTGTAAATGGATGGATGAATGGATGGTTGGATGTATGGATGAATGGTTGGATGCATGGATGGAGTGACAGACTTTATTGATCCCAAGCTGGGAAATTAGAGAAATAATTTGTCCCCCCATTGACCCATCCCCCTCCTCCCTGTCCCCCCGTCTCCCCTCCCAGAACTCCAGCAGTAAGCTGACTCTTCAGTTGATCTTCTTCGATGGGGAGGAGGCCTTGTTCCACTGGGGTCCCAATGATTCCTTGTACGGCTCTCGACATCTGGCCCAGAAGATGGCGAGCACCCCACACCCGGCTGGGGCGACAGACACCAACCAACTGCACGGCATAGTACGTGACCGTTCCAAGAATTATTGTTTGTCTTTAAACCAAACATCATTTGTTGTGACAGCCTGTGATAACTGGTTCTGTTAGTGTACACAGTAGTACTGTGTACTGTCTACTCTGATAACTCCGACATTCCTGTGTGGACAGGCTCAGACACAACAACACCGTGTGGAGTTTAAGTTTTTCTATCTGAGAATGTTCTTCTTAAAAACAAAAAACATTCACGCCGTTCCCGTCTTTTCTTCTCTAGGATCTGTTTGTGTTGCTGGACCTGCTCGGAGCCCCCAGCCCACACTTTGGAAACCAGTTCGCCAGCACGACAACGTGGCTCTCCAAACTACAGAACATCGGTACTGTAGAGATGAAGTAACATTTTACTACGACTGTGGTATTACGGGATGTTTACCTGGATCAAGGTGCACCTGAAGGCAACCACTAATTAGCCCTGAAAACTATAAAACTACTAGTTATGTTGGATTAGCCGTGTTGGACCGGGGGTGGTGTCAAACATACGGCCTGCGGGCCAAACCCGGCCCATTAGGGTGTTCAATCCGGGCCGGCTTGATGATTTTTTTGAGTAAAAAATGCACAAACATTTCATGTTCAGGACATTTTCTCAAAATATATTTTATTAAATATAAATATTGTCTAATATACTTGTACTTATATGTGGGAAAACAAAAAGGAATCAGCCGTTACTGCGGATCATTACATTTTTTTGTTCAGTCTTTCGTCTGTCAGTATCAGAGTCTGAATGACCTTTGACCTGTTGTTCTGAAACATTGACAGATTATCTTGATTATCTTCTTGAATGAAAACAGTAAAGGCACATGACTGGATTCTTTTGGAATGAAGTACATTAGTAAAACTACATACTAAGTACATTTTTTTCTGTGTCCCACTGTGGTCCAGTATCAAATGACCTACGGACCGGCAGCGGTCCCCGGACCGAGGGTTGATTTAGACCACAGTATTGACTGGTCACATGACTGCCTTGTACAAACACTGTTCTTTTGTTCAGCACTTTACTCCATGATGGTCTCTTTAAAAATGTATCTTGAAGGGAAGTACCTCATGTTGCACAGCACTTGTAACGATATTTTTAGAACATAAGGACAGTCGGCCTCATTGTTATATTTTCACAGATTCTTGGGGCAAATCGGATCGTTTGATCAATAATTCTTTTCTTTCTTTGGTGACTACAAAGATTGGAATCAGCTCTTGAAGCTTAAAGAACAAATAAAAACATATGTTTTTCCCTTTTCTGTGTTCAGAGAAGCGTCTCCATTCCATGAACCATCTGTTGGACCACCCTAGCAGCGTGCAGTATTTCTGGCCTGATCGTAGTGTGGGCATCATAGAAGACGATCACCTCCCATTCCTGCGCAGAGGTATTCACTGCCACACAAAAAGGCAGGAACTACTAGATGTCATGTGTTCTATGGGTGTCTCATCTCTCCGTCCTTCTCCGTCAGGTGTTCGTGTTCTCCACCTTATCCCCTCCCCCTTCCCTTCAGTCTGGCACACGTTCCATGACGACGAGCAGAACCTGGACCGCTCCGCTATCCAGAACCTCAATAAGATTTTTCAGGTTTTCGTTCTGGAGTACCTCAACACCAGGCCTGTTGTTCCCTCAGATACTTCAAGCACTTCAGAACCTTTGACACAGGAAGCACCATAAAAAAAATATATACTTTTTTTTTTTATGTCTCACTGTTCTGAAGGTCTTTGTTGTTTCACCAACCTGTAATTACTGCTGTTTTTTCTATATATTTCATTTTCATACATATATACAGTGTGCCTTAATAGTAGGGATGTCTGATATTAACATAGATTAACAAAATAAGCTGCAATGCTGCCATCTAGTGGCTTTCACCTTCATATACAGCCGTTTTTCCCCAAAACTATATTTACGGCACACATTATTTGGTGAAGCTCAGGTGTTGGGTTATCGGGTTTTCATTATCGGCGTAAAAACTCATAACGATTCTTACACATATTACACATCCCTACTTAATAGGTTAAAAAACATCAATATACTGTATATATACGTACTATCTGTTGCTGTGTGTATAGTACAAAGTATTTAAAGGCGTATTCCAAGTATTTCAAAGTGTGTATTCAAACTGTCTGTCTCACTGACAGACTGATTGTAAACACAAGCACTGAGTAAACGCTTCCCTCAGAGCTTTACCTTTTAATGCCAGGTGTTTTATTTCACAGCCAATGGCATTCAAAGCCTACTAGGCACTCTGGGTCAGATACCCCCACAGTGGTATACACACTGGATACACATATGTGTGTATGTTATATTTGGAAATAACATAAAAATGAGCACACATATACGGTCTTAACTTTATATATACAATAATATAAATTATGTATATATATATATATGTATATATATATATACATTTTTTTATTGCCATGGAAATATATATATATATATATTTCCATGACACGGTATATATATATATATATAATGTCCCAAACCCAGCCAAAGGTTGAAAAAAAAGTGCGACTTATAGTCCAGAAAATACGGTAATTTCTCATGATCTACCAGCACTCCCTTTGAGATCTACTGGTATTGGACCCCCCCTGGTTTAGCCTATAAGGAGGCACTTGGTTCTCATGGCAGACATCTTGGATCTGCTCGACCTTTTTACGAATAGTGATCATTTGAATTCAGGATAAAACTTGAGTCCGATTTTTTTTTTTTTAATTCTATGATTTCCAAAAATCCCAGAGACAAAACAGAACATGTGGTGATTTCATAGCTACTGTATAAACGAGATCGACACATACAGGAGAGCGTATGTGTTTTCATGACAGGATGTGTGACATTTATTCCCTCCTGTGCCGTGAATCTGTTCAGTGTTTTCCATAGAGAAAAGCCGTCGGCGGCAGGAAGTGGGTGTAGCTATAAAAACACAGCATATTTAGCCCTCCTCATCCTGTCATCCTACAGTACTGGACAACGTCCTGTGCTGCTGCGCTACACGCCTCCAGGTTCAGTGCGATCCTCGTATACCTCGAGATCGATCCCAGACTGAGGACTGAAGCAGGACTTCCTGTATTTAAATAAATGTTGTTTTAGATCATGAACCAAAACACGCCACGTCTCTGATCTATTCATGTGTTTATTTGAATGTTCGTATTTCTGGAGCCTTTAATAAAGGCACTGATCCTGTTCTGATGCTAGGTCGCTGCGTGATAACAAAGGTCACCTTTTATGTGAGGAAGTGTGGCCTTTAGCAGTAATTACAGCCATACAAACGCCAGAATAGCTGGGACTCTGTGTTCAGTTTCAAGTTCCCTCTTCGGCCTTCAACCTTCTCTCCGCCTCATACATCTGGGAGCAACTGCATACAGTATATTTCACTTAAAATATAGCATAGCGCACCACCAAAAGAAAATGTCACAAATTAAACATAATAATCTTCTAGTGTCAGAGCGTCAATAATTTAATTTTTCCGTGTGAACCCCGAGCCTGTTTAGTTGAACACAATGCTTATACACTGGCAGGAATTGAAGAAAAACACAAACATTTATATATATATATATATATATATATATATATATATAGTTGTTATTGCCATCCGAGGCCACGTGGTGGAAAAGTATTTCGTTGTTTTACCAGTCACTGTTGCGCTGACAAGCCAAGACAAATTATAATTAATTCGTTTAGTTTAGTTAGAAATTAATAGTTTTCACACCAATGACGTGAAATTACACCAGATGGTCCAGAGGTTGGGTATCACTGTCGTACAGCACAGGCTAACGCAGACCACTGCAGTTCCACGCCCCTCTGCTTCACCCCACCAACAATCCCATGATTCCTATAATCCCCCTGAATTGCACGCCGTCCAAATCCCGTTTAATTCTTCCCACAGCCATGAGAACGGAACACGACTCATCCATCGATCTGAGCAGCTCTGTGTTGTTTACTGTGGGTTCAACTGACGCCAACTGTGGGATAAGAATATCTTCTCCTCCGCTTTTTATTTGTTGACTCCAACTCTACCTCAACTTGTGTTTTCTCTGCAAAACAACTCGAGTCAAAGACAGTAACAGAAGTTATTAAAAAATAAATAAACCTGACGCATCACAGTCTCTTAATAACCACTGAACTCTTATCAGCTTATGGATCAGCATCCACGTCAAAGTAGGTTTAATGCACGTCATGTGTTCATGTGCGTCAACCTGCTTACTTGCATTTAAGAAAGAACACCAGCAGAGGTCAGCGGTGAGTCGTATCCATTTGGGTGCAAATATAATAACTATTTTGAAATTATTTGTCACTAATTTATATTAAAAATGTAACTATATGAAACTTATATAACGCAAATTTGTGATAATACTCATTTGGACTACGTTGAATACTCGATATTTAAATTTGTTTCAATTCGAAAGACAGATTGGATTTTCTGAAGTCCTTTTATTTTTTTATTTTTATTTTTTTGCTGATTTTTTTTAGCTAATTCCTTTATGCATTTTTCCCAGGAGTAACTTAACATAAACCAAACAAAACAAACTGCTCAGTAAACGCCTCCAGTTTCAAACGAGGGCGGTGAACACAGAAACTACTGATTTCCACTGATGCATTCACGTTTCTCACGTATTTTCTTTGTTAACGTATTTGTATACAATATACGTCACACATTTTTGTAATGTATAGTGGGTTAACACTGAAATAAAAACATAATAACACAACACGTTTTGATTTAAAAAAAATAACCGCAAAAATAAGTATTTTCACAGCTCCAGTCCCATTTCTTTTACACTGAACACTGAGTCTGCCGAGTTTTCCCGGTGGTACGTGAAGGCAGCACTGATCCCAGACCGGTCTGTGGGTGAATAGGAGCAGTGGGGGATTTCAGAGCACTTCCACTCATGCGTGGACACAGTAGTCGAGAGAGTGGACAAAAACAGACGAGCAGCTCCGAGCAGTCACGAAGAATGTGACACAACTTTCTCTCTTCTTCTTCTTTTTTTCAATTTCATCACGATTAACCGGGGCTCGGTTTTGGTCTTTCTCTTCTATACGGTGTTATAGAAGCCATGGAGCCGATAACGAAGTGGACGCCGAAGCAAGTGGTGGACTGGATGAAAGGTAGGCTCAGCTTGGACTGCAGCACTTTATTTATTTATTTATTTTTATCTCTCCACATGTAACACACTTGTATTTAGTGTTAATGATACTGTAAACAGCAGCTGTAACTTTAGCGGTAGCTGTGTCTGTGTCTGGTTTCGTAGAAACTGCTACTGTGTGACAACATAACCTGCTCCACAACAATGAAGCCGCATCATCTACTCGGACTTGTTGAACACTTTCTCTCAGCTGTGGTTGCTATTTTCTATAAAGCCACTGTAAAGACGTCTGTCCCAGTCGTTCTATAATAATAGAAAACGCTATTTTTATTTATTTATTTTTTGTTGTTATTTGTCGCTAACTCAAAACACAGCAGTCTGTGTGTGAACAGAAAAGTGATGACAGCAAACAACTCAGTCATTTGTCATAATCTAGTGAAATTATGTTTCAGATTAGTGGCTGTCAGAATATTACCATCGTCTTTTTATATGTGACATATATGTATATATATATATACAATTTATTTACTTATATACTTTAATTTCTGCTGTGGCACAAATAAAAATAACAATTTGACCCGTGATTTAATACGTGCCCCCTATGTTTGAAACCACTGTTTGATTCAAACTACTTTACATCAACATTTATGATAAAGTCTATAAGTTTCCCTTAATCTGACGTGCAGTATTTTTTGAAGTAGTACTTTCACATACTGTATGTCCTCCCATTTTTCAAAGCTCACCTGGTATCACTTATGAAGTAATTGAGTACTTTGTATATTACTAAAAATGTCTCTATAATGTCAAATACTTAGCAGGTAATTACTTCAGGTTAACGTCTAAAAGTGCTGCATCACATGACAGGTTTTTATTTTTGGGCACATGGTTCTTTCTGAACACCTACACGGAGTTCAGAAAGTCCAATCTCTTTTGTTTCGGTTCAATAGAACCATTGTTAAATCCTTAAAACTGTTAATCGGTTCTTAGTGACTCACAGTGACCAGGTCGTTTTCAATTCTTTCAAGAAACCAAAGAAAGAAACAAAAAAGTCTTTTTCTTTTTTTTTTTTTTTTTGGTACTAACAATATTCGACTTATTCTGATTTTTGACGACTCCACTGGCACTGATTCATCAGTGAATAGTTATTGTTATTGTTATTGTTCCGTGAGGAAAGTTCCCTCTGAGTCCCTCATTAGTCAGGTCTTTGTTTTGGTGCTTTCCGTGGCCTAAAATCCCCAAACAAACCATATTCCACAGGTATAAACACACAGCGTCGGTGACATCACTGCTCTTTGAACCCAGCTCCGGCGTCAGTCATAACAAAGGTATGTGTGGTGAGGTAGTGAGGGACACCAGTCGGTATGTCAAGTATGGAGTTACTTGCGCTGCGTTCATTCCTCACACACATAAGTGAAGTGTGTGTGTGTGTGTGTGATACACTTCAGAAAAATCAGCCGGCTGTTTATGTTACACCGACGTGTTTGTCTTTGCCCCCGACTGTCCCCAGCATTTTGGACAACTCCCAAAAGAAAACACAGGTGATTTCCTTTTCTCTCGTTTGTTGAAGTGAGGACAGATTTGAACGCACGTGTCAGGAAACTCCTAGCCCAGACTTTAATTAGTTACTCATATGTAGCAGGAAAAATGAAAACATTAAATCATTAATACTTTCTAGTAGGGATGTCCGATATTAACCTCTGGTTGATGTCCGATATGCTAATATTGTCCGATATCAACTGATACCGCTCACTATGTCGACTGATTAAAGCAGTGTTTTTCAATTATTTTCAAGAAAAAAAATACACCTCGTTTTGTCTGCAGGGGCCGCTGTGCAGTAAACAGCACAAAACCAACATATGGGTTGCAAACCACAGACCTAGTCTGGCTGTAGACTTTGTCTTTGTAATCCTGTCCTACCGAGAACGAGCTCATCATGTTGAATGGGAGGTCATGGCCTCGTGTTGACCCATTCACACCAACGGCAAACACGGGTGTTTCCAGAGATGTTACCACTGTGTGAAAGAGCGCCTCGTAAGTGCCGTGTGCGGACCTTTGCTCTCATTTGCCTCAGGTTGTTTTTCCCACCAAGACACTGGGGTTTTGTGTATTGAGGCACTTGCTAATCACTTGCATTGTTCTAGAGGATCAAGCGGTGGTTGGTGGAAGTTGGTGGAAACTGGTGAAAGGGCGTTTTAGTTCGTTTAATTTAAACACTGTTTTAATGTGTTGGGAGGCTGTAGAAGCCCTGAGGCTCTCATTGGATCAACCACATGGTCTGGTCCTCCAGCTGGACCTGTGGTGTCATGTGATGACTGTGCCATATGTCATGTGTGTCAGCTCTCTTGCCCTGAGGGGGAATAATGCACTTTTCTGATGACAGTAATGGCTGTAGGACGTAACAGGTTTTAACAGAAACTGAAAGAAATGCGCCGTTCTATGTTGACGATGTGTTGTTGTTGGAGTTGATTCATGATGAGCTGGGACATTAGTGCGTTGACTTCCACCCTGAGATCACAAAGTCAAAAGTCATTTTCCAAATATAGTCCTGAATTCGTAGGGGCGGGGCTTCAGCGGAGACATGTTGGCACGCAGCGAGGAAATGTTTAGCTTCAATTCAACCCAATATGTTTTCATCCGTGAACACAATCTCTTTTTGTCCTCACTGCTCGTCTGCCCTGTGGCAACAAATGGGAGAGTGACTGCCAAGATTTAACAAGGCGACCTCGACATAAAAACCTACACAGCTGCTGTCCGACCCAATGGTTTTCCAGCCGTTCCGTCCACACTGGACGTCCTCCAACATCTTCTATACTTAAACACTGGCTAATCAAGTTACAAAGCCATATATTTGGACGGGGGATTGGGCATGTGATGGTTTCTGATGAACTTTATTGGAGGGTCATGATTAAAGTCCTGCTGACCTAGTGGCTTATATTCACATAACCCCCCCCCCACCTCCCCTCCAGTTTAAACCAAACTGTCTTTATTGACACATACATCTAAGGCCAGACTCTGTTATCCTGCGATGGAATGTGCGCAAGGCCTCGGTTGCAGATGTGTCCCTGTCTTCTGTGGCTGTTCCCCATAACAGGAAGTCTGGTACGAATGTTGATTTATCAGCAGGTTGTGTTATATAAGTCATTATCTCATGAGTGTCACGAGGTTGGAGAAATATAAGCGGTTGCAGAGGTGACTGTGGTCGTATCCTGCCTCTCAAGTAGCACCGGAGTGTGAAGGAGGTTAATTGGCCTGTCATGGGGGGGCGGGTTGGATACCATTCGTTTTGAAGGATTTCAACTTCAAATGTAGCACCTCCTTTGGAGGATGTGGGGTACTTTTGTTACCATGTGTTCTGCCAGAGCATTACATCGACCATATCTACGCGGTTCTGTCTTAAGCTTGGTCAGGGTTCCCAAATGTCCTGGAAAATACTTAACAAATTATATGGTTGTGGAAACCTAATGGAAAAAAATAAAAGAAAAAAAAAAGGCCTGGAAATGCTCAAGGTATCCTAGGAATTATCGTATTACTACAAGTCAATCTGTCAGCTAGCAGCTGTAAATGTCCTTGAACAGCCTTGAGGTTAATTTAGGGTTCCCAAGTGTCCTAGAAAATCTGGATAATAATCAATAAATTATAAGGTTGTGAAAAACTTATGGAAAAATTAGTAGGGAAGAAAATGTCTGGAAGTGCTCACGGTATTCTACAAAAAAATATCATATTACTATAAGTGATCTGTCAGCTAGCAGCAGGGTTAGGGTTAGAAGTATTTTTTTTAGAAATATTGAATTCTTTTCAAACATTTTAATCACTGCAAAAATCATGACTTCATTACTTTAGGATTTCAAGGTGGTCCAAGCTGCAGCTCTGGGTCTGTGAAGGGACAAAAGTATTTGGCTCTTCAGTCCACTCCACTGGTTCCAGTGATGGATGCCTTCAGCGCTCCTATCTACTGAGCTGATAGTGAGGTGAGGCCGATGATGAGCGCTAATCCTCGTCTGACCAAACACCAGCGTCAACAGACGATGTGCAGTCACCTCTACCTTATAAAGGCATCTCCTGCCTCTGGTGTGGTACCGGCTTCATTGAACAAGTGAAAGTCTATGTTTGGAAAGCCAACACTGGCACCGTTAATCCAGTTTGGCCACAGTTATAGTTTATAGTTTCTGTAAAATAAGATTCCAAAACGTTGTCGCAATCAATCGAGATTTTTGACCGGCAGGAATCGGCCTAGTTTGCACACAGAGGCTAAAAAAAATGTGTTCAAATGAAATTCATTCTTCCCTCGATGCCCTTTTGTCTTTTACCAGGTTAAGTCACTCCGTCATTCAGCCTTTAAAATCGACCCATTGTGTGTCATTGATGGGGAGATAACCGTGTTAGCCTTGCACAGAAAAAGGCCTTTAGAGTTCAGGAGTAGTGCTGTAAGTAGACTCCCCCCCTGGGACTGATGTCTGAAAGGCATTGCCACGGTTTCGTTCCTGTCGGCCCCTCCGTGTCCCGTTTCTCACATAGCCCGCTGTCCCAGCCTTGAAGCCCCAGGAGCTTTAACGCATCAGGAACTCAAAAAAAAAAAAAAAAATAGATGTCACTGTGTTGAGGATCAAACAACAAAAGTGTTGATTCTGTTGATTAGCACAATACTGTTTTTAATTCCGTGGTTGGACTTCCTGTTTTTGGTTATTGTGAAATGCGAAGTGCGGCAAAATTTATCATGAGAATTTGAGTATTTTTATGTGGGCTATATATCCATTATATTCGGCCAGATTCTGACAACTACTGGATGGACTTTGCTCTAATTTGCTCTCGGAACTCAGAACTGTTTGGTGGTCGTTCTCCCAGATGTTCCCAGGTTTTCCCTTAGTCCTAGTCCCGGACCATAGACCCAGTGTTTTCAACCGGTGTTATTATCGTCATCATCCCACCTCTGCCAGCTTGGTATTGACCAGTTTGCCCTTTTATAAGAATTTAAAATGTGCACTATAAATCTCTGATCATCTCATGTGGCTTTGATAATATTAG